AAGGTTCGATACAACAACGCCGATAGTATAGAGACCGATACAACAACTCCTAAAGTACAGGGGCCGATACAACAACTCCATCATTACACGGGCCGATACAATAACCGACAGTACAGTGGCCGATACAACAACGCCAACAATACAGGGTCGATACAACAACGCCGATAGTATAGAGGCCGATACAACAACTCCTAAAGTACAGGGGCCAATACAACAACCGACAGTACAGTGGCCGATATAACAAACGACAGTACAGGGACCGAGACAACAACGCCGATGGTAAAGGGGCCGATACAACAACGCCAACAGTACAGGGGGCGATACAAAACGCCAACAGTTCAGATGCCGATATGAAAACGCCGACAGTACAGGGTCGATACAACAACGCCGATAGTATAGAAGCCGATACAACAACCGACAGTACCGTGGCCGATACAACAACGCCAACAGTACAGGGTCGATACAACAACGCCGATAGTATAGAAGCCGATACAACAACTCCTAAAGTACAGGGGCCAATACAACAACCGACAGTACAGGGGCCGATACAACAAACGACAGGACAGGGGCCAATACAACAACCGACAGTACAGGGGCCGAGACAACAACGCCGATAGTAAATGGGCGATACAACAACGCCAACAGTACAGGGGGCGATACAACAACGCCAACAGTTCAGATGCCGATATGACAACGCCGACAGTGCAGGGTCGATACAACAACGCCGATAGTATAGAGGCCGATACAACAACTCCTAAAGTACAGGGGCCGATACAACAACCGACAGTACAGGGGCCGATACATCAACGCTGAAAGTATAGGGGCCGATACATCAAAGCCTACAGAACAGGGGCCGATACAACAACGACAACAGTACGGGAGCCGATACAGTAAAGCCGATAGTACAGGAACCGATGGGACAACGCCGATAGTACAAGGGCGGATACAATAACGCCAACAGCAAAAGAGCCGATACAACAACGCCAACAGTACGGGGGCCGATACAGTAACGCCGATAGTACATGAACTGATGGGACAACGCCGATAGTACAAGGGCCGACACAACAACGCCAACAGCACAAGAGCCGATACAACAACGCCAACAGTACGAGAGCCGATACAACAACGCATGCAGCACAAGAGCCGATACAACAACGTCAACAGTACGAGAGCCGATACAACAATGACATCAGTACGAGAGCCGAAACAGTAACGCCCACAGTATGACGTCATTTTAAACTTGTTGAAATAATTCGAAGTTTGAAATGTGGTCTGACACAATTGGATATAATCAGCAAGAACCGTATTGTCTGAAGAACCGTGGACAATCTAATATCGATAGATTATAAGATATACTGGTACCCTTATATGTGTCATAACTGATTTGTAGCCTTGAGCTTCAGTCCATTGGACGTTTGAACATGAGGGAAATTAGAAACATACAATGAACTGGAATTGAGTTACACGTGTATATTCCGAAGATCAATATGTGTATATGGTTTTGTTGCAACTGAGAGTTTCTCTTAAACAAGATCATGGCTAATTCATTTTTTACAAAAAAAGGAACGTCAAAATATATTGATGATTACAAAAACATTTAATGTAACTTTTTCTTTTGAGGTGATATAAAGTTACAAGACATTGATGTGAAAGTGCATTATTTAAAACATTTTTAACGCTTTTCAGCATAACTGTTTTGAAAGTACAAATGTACACACCAATAATGTGATATAACAGTACACATGTACATCAAACCCAATACATATTTATGTTGTATGGGTGTGAACCTGGATCCATAAATTGGCCGTAATTGTCATTATAAAAACATTACATGTGTATGGTATTTACAGAACTCCTTGCGTACTTTCACTGAAGGAAAAACAATACAAATGTATAATCGAAATGCCCGGTGATGTGTAAGGCGGAATATCATATAAAAACAAAAACAAAATCTGAAAGCAAAATGTGGAATACATCAAGTACATGTGTCCCTCTGTGAAGATCGCATTTAGCAACAACTAACTATGCCCGGAATACATCAATCGTGATCAAAATTGAGAAAGTTCATGCAACGCTAAATAGTAGTGTTTGTTCAACGCAATGCGCTACCCCGCGTGTCCGGGTTTTTATACACGGGTTCGGGTCATCTTCGGCTTTAGTTTAAGTATCTCCACGATGCAAATACCATCACTGTCTCTGGAAGCTCTTGTCTTGGATTAAGTTGAACATATTCCATTTAATCAATTTCAAGATGTTTGTATCAATTTATCATAAGACTTTTAATAGCTCGTTATATATTTACTTTTTTAAATTCAGTAGCATGCACGATGTAGACTAAGGATGGTATATGTCTATGTATCCAAACATTATTTTTTTTGCTAAATAAACAATACAGCGTGACATGAAGCAGTGACATTTTATATGACTGTAAATTGTAGAGCATGAATTCAACCTCTCCCTACCAAATACACAAACAAATTATAAACACAGGTCGAATCGGCGTTCATTATTTCCCCTGACATTTTCTTACTCTCGTTATATAGTCCACCATAATACATACACTTAAAATGTTCTTTAAAATGTGTTCGGAGGAATGATCTGGAATTTCTGGATGGAGAAATAATTTGGTACAGGTAGAATAGGGTCACAATAGTGTATTAATATGTACCGTTTATAGAGCAGAAAATTCACGTCACCCTTTTTTGGGAGAATTTTAAGTATTCGATTGAAAAAGCTTTAGAAATTACTTCGAATGTTATTAGTGTTGGTGATATAAATGTAGATATGCTAACGTTGTCACGTAATCATATTTTACATCAAGTCATGTTAGAAATGGACTTAGCTATGTACCATAGAACTTCCAGATCATTCCTCCGAACACATTTGAAAGAAAAGGTCACGGGATTGGCTTACTAAATTTAATCAACAGAAAACTGATGTGTTATTAATATCTAATTCGCGAAATATACTTCCTTTACAGATTTGTTCTGGAAATGAGACTCTGAATTGTGTTGAAAGTCATAAACATTTACGCGTAAAATTTAGTGCAGATGCAAAATGGTCTTTGACATATTTCCGAAATTAAAAAAAACATGCATGAAAGTTTTTTGCTAAGTAGGAATACTTTGTTAAGAATATATGAAGTATTTGTGTTGCCTGTGTTGGAATATGCCTGTGAAGTATGGGATGGTTGCTGGGAATTATTACTGGCCTATACTCTTTTTTCTAGGAAACAATCATTGTATCGAAAAATCCAAATTTGAACCTCTATCTGAAAGAAGAAAACTTAAAAACTTTCCCTAATGTACAAACTCCACAATAAACTAACACTTTCTTATTCAATTAACCTTCTTCCTCCTAAAGTATGCGAACGCAATAGCTACAACTTGAGAAACACCGAAAACTACACTGTTCCCAATGTCCGACAGTCTAGTTCAATCCAATTCTTCATCCCTTCTTCTGTAAGACTATGGAACGATTTACCAAATCCTGTCGGAGAACAGATATCCGTTAACATTTTTAAATAATCGATTCAGCGTAACCAAGGTTACGTGTGTGCCTCAGTTTTTCTTTTTGGAAATCGTAAACTAAATATTTTACATACAAGATTGCGTGATTCGTGTAGTAGTTTGTATTATGATTGATATAGAGTTAATATTATAGGTGATCCAATGTGTGAATGTGGAAATGCGTATGAAAATGCAGTCCATTATTTGTTTTGATTGTATGCTGTATACCAGACAAAGGCAAATTTTGATTCATGACATCTCTCGTTATTGTAATATTTATCTTAATGTTATTCTGCACGGTTCTCCAATCTTGTCGGATGAAGACAATGAAAATATCTCCATATAGTCCAAACCTATATTAAAAATAGTAACAGATTTTAAGGTCAGTAATGTTATCGTATCATCTCTCTTTCTTATTCTTCTGAATTTCTTTTTCTTCCTTTTTTCCCTTCCTTTCTTCTTTGTTCATATATATTTATTTCAAAAACATATTTGTTTTTGTTGTCATCTAATTAATATAATGCCAACCTTTTTTGCTGAGTGAAAAATTATCACTAGTATTATGTAACTAACAGAATTATGTTATAATTCTTTGGCATTGAATAAATGCTCATATTCGACAACAAATTGGAATTTTAGTTGTTTTTCTGGTATTTGCAAAAAACATAGCAGAGTTTCCATGTGTGCTACTACAACCTTGTTATCCTGACATTCTAAACATGATGATATAATTGTATTTATGTGAAACATAAAGTAATTTATATCATCTGTTTGAATATTCCTAATTTTTATAATATTGTAATGACCGGATCATACATGTTAATTCCGGATCGTATATCGCCTGTGTTCCGTACTTTAGTATGTCCGTATGTAGGTCATTTGACCTGTTTGTTTTGGTTCGAGCGACAGCTGATTTTGGAGCGGGATATTTTTTTCAGAATTCCCACCACCTTCCCCTTTCACTTTTTGGCCACCTATGTTTAGTTTGAAATGTACATGTTTTTTATGATGTCGAATTATTAATGTACATGTTTTTATGATGGCGAATTATTATGTAACAGAATTATGTTATAATTCCTGATCATATCCTTAGCCCAACCTTTTTTGCTGAGTGAAAAATGATCACTATTATTATGTAACTAACAAAATTATGTTATAATTCTTTGGCATTGAGTAAATGCTCATATTCGACAACAAATTGGAATTTTAGTTGTTTTTCTGGTATTTGCAAAAAAAAACATAGAAGAGTTTCCATGTGTGCTACTACAACCTTGTTTTCCTGACATTCTAAACATGATGATATAAAATGAAATGTGTTGGAGAGGGCGTTTCTAAGTTGAGATAACTTGTGCCTAATCCTTTTTGTTGAATGACACATAAAATATGTTTAAATCAAATATACGTCTCTGATCAGATACATTATAACAGAGGATACGTTCTTTATGATCTATAGTTGTCGTTCTTGATCGTATCACGTGATGATTTATTTTGACGTCATAATTGATTCTGCAATATTCGTCCTGGATACCATTCAGTGAGACACAGAGAACGTTTGTTGATGATTATTTTTACAGACAGAAAATGCCAACTTCTCCGAAGCCGTCCAAGATCTTCTTTTCTAAAGTATCGCCACTTCCAGCACATCAGACTGATGTCGAGGATTCCATCACGCAACAAAGGTGTCCTGTGGAACTATTCCTGGCAAAGCGGGGATTTCAGCAATCCAAACTGAAGTTAGTCGTGTTGCGTTAGACAGGTTTTCGTTTTAAATGGTGCCCATGTCTCTTATTACCAGATAAAAGACATCTAGCTATCTCTACTATGATAGCTGGATGTGGCCGTTCTTTCTTTCCGCCATTTCGTTCTTCCGACGCCTAAGAACGAAAAACGCCGTTCTGTTTTGATAAATGTATGGCACCTTGTTGCTTACATGTAGTGGCTTTTGTTGGCGCCAAACTAAAAACTCTCGGTTTAGCTTAATTAAACGGCACTTTTCTGCCACGGCAAAAAAACAAACAAAAAACACCAAAAAATGACCAAGCGCCATATGTAACGCGAATAGCGACCAAGAATGACGCTTTTCGTGCTGCGCCTAGAAAACGAAGGGTACTTGCGGCGAAAAAACCCACCGTTTAATTAATAATATAAATTACATAAGCTACATTGTACCTTGTGAATTACATATAAGATACATATTTAACAATATTAACAAAGATACTAGTGCGTGTTTATATAATGTAAACGTATCTGATAAAGTAAATGTATAGGGTCGTCTTTTTAGGTGTTAAGATATTTATGTATTATTAAAGTTCAAAATATATATAAGATAGCGTATATATACTTGTAGAGACATTTTTTTGGTGGTCAATATGTTAAGAGAGCTTGGAATTTTATAACACATGGAGCTTATATTTCTTAGGGAGGTTAAAAGAAGAAGGAATGTTGATACATATACTTACAAAAAGTGTTTGTGCTTGAATAAAGATAAAAATTAAAACAGGCATATTTTCTGATTCCACTATGATGAGCTTGAGCCAAACACTTCCGTATGTCGTTATATGTGCTGTAATTAATTGACAATCCTTATGAGTTTAAGAGGGATACTGTAATAAAGGGAGGAAAGACATAAAGGTAAGCTTTAGCTAGGGCTGTTTTGTGACCTCGTTTATGTCACAGAATCATCTAGACCATTGACATAACTGGGAAAGGTCATGGACTCATAAAATGATATAAATTTGTATGGGTTTTTTTGCTACTGATTATTTCTGTCATTCTATAAGTTATAGTACTGAACATGAATGATAATCAATCGTATGTTTAAATCCCTAGGTACTTACAAAAAGTGTTTGTGCTTGAATAAAGTGTGAAAAGTCTGTAACTTTTTGAAATCTAACTTGTCGGAAGCCCGATAAACTAGAATTATGAAAAATATTTTCGTCAATATTGCACAAAAGAAGCATTTGTTTATTTTGATATAGTGTTTAATTCATTTAAATAAATATGTTTAACACAGCTTTTTGACCTCAGTGGTAGAGACTTATGACGCAGATCTAGAGTTCGGATGGCAGAGCAGCCAACGGTAAGTGTACACGACAAACTCCAATTTGTGTACACAACTGTTATTAACTAAAATTCTATATATTTACTCCTATTAAAACATCAATTAACTCACTCAAATACAGTATTGTCCCTCTCGATCCAACTGCACGGGAATATTCCTAGTTCATACAGGAATTTTAAGTTTGGTGCGCACATGAGTTAGTTTCTAGGACTATTCTCTTTCATTCAAACGAAATGTACTTACATAGAAAGAACAAGTGCCCGATTACTTATACTGTTTGGCTGAAGTACGATACATTTCACAGCCTTATAAAACTACATATGTATACAACATGGTGCGTGTACAATTTAATTGTACATGAATATACATTTAATTGTACATGAATATACAGTACTAATGAAATGAATATTTTTTGTCAAATATATCGTTGTTGTATTATTCAGTGTGTTCTGAAAATTATTAATACCGTCATAGTGTCTAACGTACATAACTAAATTCATTACAGCCAGTCACTGACCCTAAAAAACGAAACAAACAACAACGGTAGTCCGAAAGATGTTGAGTCGGATAAAGATCTCGACAGCGCAAGTACGTCCAACTCTGGTTCAGGTATCAGTATGGTTGGTAAGAAGGGCAAGATCAAAGCATTCCGGAAGGCTCTACGCAGGCTCGTGAACAAGTCCAATATAGTCCAGCCAAAACACTACTTGTAATGACAAAATACAATGGGTTCAAAGAACGCGTTTATTTAGAAAAAAATGTGTAAAACATGTATTTGAAAGGCGACATAGAAGTGTGTTCTTGCATGCATTTACTTATTCGTTGAGTTGTAGAAGAAGCTGAATAAACAATAAGTCAGATATTTATATTTCTTTCTTTCCTCCTTTTACTTTTGTTATCATCTTTTCGATAATTAAACATGTCAAATCGAAGTAACAAATTTACTTAATTATGACGTCAATTTTCAGTATATTACGTCTAACGTGCAAGTTTACTAATATATGACGTCAACATTACGTTTCTGACGTCATTGTGAAGACTATAAAATAGAACGTTTAACGTCACCGAAAAGGACTATCAACAATATGTCTCCGAAGACTACGCTTCTAGTCATGTGTGTACTACTATATTTACTGGATGTTGCTGTGAGTTTATGTGGTAATGAATGCCAGCGACAGTTGCGTGTAAATCATATCCAAAATTCCAATGGTATAAATTCTTCAAATATTTCAAAAAGGAAATGGGAGTCTACTAAGTCTCTTTTCCGTGTGAAGCGTAGTGTCCGCAGGTATGGCAAAGGGAGCTGGCTTAATGCGGTTATTAGGAACACCCCTGAAATGGATAAGTTATTTCCAAACCGTATGAAAGATAACCTTTTAGTTGTTGGTCTTTACCTAGCAGCTCATAAATACTTCGAAGTTGATAGAAGATACACGTTTTCGACGACTAAATATGAAGATCGTAAATTTTTCAAGCATTTTCCAATTCCACGCCTAAAGAAGCTCCACCCTACCGTGGAGAGAGAATGTAACAAAGGTGCATTTGAATGCATCACGCATATCTACAAAACCGCTTTGGTGTCCGGATCACTAGCCAGCAAAAAAATCTTAACCGAACACAAGAACTTGAAGAAGGGTTCGATTCCACTTGAGTATCCATTTGACTCAGCATTAGAGCAGTTCCAGTATAGGACTACAGCCAGCTACTTCATGTGTTGGTATACGGAGCTCGGCGACGACCTTCTAGCATTCGAAGATGAAAAAGGCTGTTATTTTAATCTCGTCGGGATTGTCCAGGAAGCGGTTGACGGCAAAGGAATATATGACATCAGGTCAGAAATTTTGAAATATGAGGCTTCACTGAAAGAGAAACGCGTATCTCCTCATACTTGTCCTTATTTATGGTTCTGCCCGGACCCATGCTATGGGAGGAGTACCTTAGGAAATGTTCGTCCTGGCAAATACTTAGACGATCCACTCAACCCGTGCTCGCGGCTGAAAGACCGTGCCTGTTTCTGGGAGACCGGCAATAACAAAAACTTCGAGTACCTCATAAAAAATAGAATTAACTATACATGTAATTGTGAAAATGAACGGAAGGGTTTCATATGGTCACCAAAATATAGTATCTGTATTGACCAAGACGAGTGTTATAATGACGTAGCGAACTGTTCAAGTGACAAAATCTGCCGAAATACTATGGGGTCTTACAGCTGTAAGTGCCGTCGAGGATTCAAACTGAACAACTCTACAGACAGGTGTGATAGACACGCCTTGTTTCGTCCCAAGTCTCACGTGGGCATGAAAGGGCGTCGTAATATACAACAGGAGGAAGATCAGACAGGAATCTGGGCAACTATTGACCGTCTGTTTGGCCTGAATTCATCCTCAAAAACACATTATAGTGTATTATTGCATACTTTGGTTACATTTCTGTGTATTGTGTTGCAGTATATTACATAATTTGAAAAGTCTCTCGTGAACTATTTGTACCCGTGTACTGCAGATTCATAGGCAGATCTAGATGGGGTGGGGGGGGGGGGGCACACCATTATTTATGGGAAAATGGACTTGCTGCCTGTGTATGTCTTCTGTATTGTCAGTATTCGTGTAACTGACGTTTTATCATCCATGCTGCTGGTTAAGATACCATTGAAAAAGCATCCTCTTATTTGTGTTATTAAATCAGATGTTATATACGAAAATATTTACTCAATGAGGGCGACGTGTATTTTGGAATGTGGACAAGCTATAAACTAAACTAAAACTTTGCTTACTTACAATGTAATACTATGTTTAACAATACATAGAGGAACTCAATTAGGGAAGCGATATCAGGTAATACAACTAATAGTCAGTGCTTAACAGTGTTACAATAACAAGCACTATAGTGTCTTATCTTCCTTATATATATGGATCATTGGTGATTTTTTAGTCTATATAACGATATGAATGAGATTGTTTCTTGGTGAAATTCGGGTTGAAAAAACTCCTTTGAAATTTCCGCGCAACACTAGATTGGTGTGAAGCAAAGCGATGTTGACGTAAAAATAACCCAGCAGCTGGTCATACAAGACTTACGGTCGATGTTTGATATGATTACCCATATGTGTGTTTCGGAATTTGTCGTGTAAACATTGTTTTTCTCATCGCGAGTACGTGGGTAAAATAAGGAGGCCGTTACACTTTTGAGGCAGAAAGTGGGGGAGGCAGAAAGTGGGGGAGAAAAATAATTTATTACTCATGCGTGTTGCAGACAGAAAAATCTCAGATTTTGTAGTTTGAAGCCTCGTGCTTTACTTACAAAATTTTACCCTTGTATCGAGGTTCCTCTGCCTTCGTCACACAGGCATTATCTGTTCCTACGCCAAAACGGTAATGTACTGTGAAGCGTGGAGTATTTATAGAATAGTTTACCCCCCGGGGTGTGTAAGATAGAGGAATCTGAACTCGAGGGGGTGGGGCGGGGCATTCGTAACTTGTCAACTATGAGACTTGTCAAATACATTGTTACATGTAGACGTACAGTTTTGCTCGTCTGTGATTCATTACAAAGCGATATCGATATGTGTAAACTGCAAGCAAGCGTATGAAGCATTGCACACAAGTTGGAACTATAGTTTGTAATTATAAGCGTAGCATGTTTTTGCCCAAGTATGCATCAATATTGGAAACCATGGCATTTAACGTTTTAATAATTATTTAAATATTTTATTAAAGGGTGTTGGCTCATATTCAACTGTTGTGATAATGTCACAGATCTATATCTTCTGAAATTGGTTTACAAATCGTTAAAAATATGTCCAAAAAACTTTTTCATTGTAAAAAGGACCACAACGAGCTGAGCCGGTATGGCTTATCTGTTATTAAAAGGAGTTAAAAGACTCCTCTCAAATTTGTGACTCAGTCACTTTGAGAGTAGGTCAAGGTAAAGTGTATTTGTAAATTCGATATTAAACAAGTTTACTAAGTATAATACAGGCTAAATATCATAATTTATACATTTAGCTTGTTTTCACTGCGTGACCTTTAATACTGTTTAATGCCATTTCTTTTAGCTAACCCTCAAAGTTATGAACGGCAACACATTTGACCCCTGCGACATTGGGTCTATTGTCTTTGAAACATCAAACGACTTCTGACCATGGCAATATAGGTAAAAAAAACTTGATAGCTCATTATACCAACAGGTCAAGGACAACTAGTATTATTTTAGGCCATTTGCATCTATTCCGTCTTTGCGTATTGCAGAGTTATCTTCTCTTGGGAGCAGGTATTGATTGTTATGTCACTTGTTTGTGAGAGTAAGGTCATCAATTTTTGAGAAAACAACGTAATTTTCTCACACAAACAAATGATGTAACAATCAATACCTGCTCCCAAGAGAAGATAACTCTGCAATACGCGAAGACGGAATAGAAGTCTTTCGAATATTTTAACATATTGACCCCTCTGACCTTTCAAGTATTTAAAATCGACCTGATGGAAACTTGAGAAAATTACAATGTCCCAGCAAATCCCATATTGATGAAACCGTTCTCATGCTCAAACATGGATTCTGTGCTCAAACCAACATTCTTGTTTCTCGTTCAAAGCATGCGACAATCAAAAAGTAGTGTCAGCATTTAAAACGTATCTCCAAAATTCTTGGAAATCACCGACAAAATGTGATTTATTATTATCACTGCAACAGGAATTTAGGCTTGAGCACAGAATCCAAGAATGAGTATGAGAACGATTTCAAGAATACCTACGGCCCAGAGTTCAAGACGGACACTTTGAATTTCAAATCAGCCCAAAAACAGACAGCTGGTGATGACATATCATGTAAAACAATTACTTAACATTCACCTTTATTACACCTGGCCAGTAGGATATTTGTCCCATTTCCTCTATTGAACCCCATCGTTGTTTACCCGGTTTACAAAGGAGAGCTTTCATCCAGAGATGTTTCATGTCATGCCAAATTAGGTGAAAATCACTTAACTGGTGTTTGAAGAATAGTATTTCAAACATACCGTAACTCATCAGTACTGTTATGCCTTTTCAGCTGAAACACCTGTCCCCTCCCTTCCAAGGAGACCCCTGAGGCAACACCGTCTCTAGTTATAATTATAATATTAAAACTTAACCGTCTTTCATCCTGGTATGTTACATGTACACACCACTTTGAAAAATGCAGGATAATTACAAAGCTGCCTGTATACATAAGCAAGCTTATTCAACAGGCTAAGCACATTGAATCTCGCGGATAAAATCTGTTTAATTAAGGTTAAAAGTAACACTGCACCAGTTATACAGTGCAACCATGAAGAAGAGTTCCATCCAGAGATGATTTTTCACTGGGAGTAATCCCCCTTGCATATAAACAAGATGTCCCTTGTCAAAGTATCCATCTCTCGGTCAATATTCAATCATGAATGTTCCCTTTCTTGTAGACCTTTTGGCCTAAAGGTTAGTCTCTCATTTTGATGCTGTGCATTAATTAATTGTGGTTTCTGTGTAACGTCATTGATAAGGTCTATCTGGGCGGTGTAAAGGTCCGAAGTTAAGACCCCTGTAAGACTAAGGATCATAATTCTGCCAGATGTATCGCAACAAGTCATCTATATGGCATTTTTTTATAGAAACAGACTATATTAAAAATCTTATCAACACAAGGGTAATAACTTGATAGTACCATTTACCTAAAGAGTGAACTTTTTGGCCTACACAACATTAAGTTCCAATAAATGAGTAAGACATACACAGGTTAAAGAAATTTCATTGCATTAAGAAGTCTTTACAATGTTTGATGCATAGATTTGAACTATACATTGTAAATGTCATATATAGAAAGAAAGCATATATACGTTTACTTACACTAGTAGTACTGTGAAGCTATAACTTTATAAAAAAGTTTCTGACAAGTCTCATATTTAATTTATCTGATTATATACAATCATTGTGACACCAATGTCTGTTACATTCATACAACCAAGGGGTGTTTAGACCAATTACATGCTCTACAGTATTGAAGTATCTCAACCTATTAGTAATTAAATACATATACCATTTAACTGGACTTTTCACTTCAAAAATGTAAACTAACATACAGGAAGGTACAATGTATATGATGGACTGTCTGGCAATATTTCTTTCCCAAAAGAAATATTTTATGACAAAGTGAAACAATACAAGATTCACAATCACATATATTGAGCCCTAAACAAATGTTGGTTCATAGGATACGACCAATTGTAGCAGATATTGGTACATGTACTTATCTTTTTACTATGAAATTTGAATTTGATGTTAATCAATGACCCATGACTAGGCCAATATAACAACTGTCCTCTGACCAATGACCCCCCCCAAATAGAAACACACCACTTAATTGCACTGCAATGCTGTATACAAATGGTACAACTTCAAACATTGCTTGTTTCACAACCTCACAACACAATGACTTTCATTCTCGACTTATTTTCCAGGCTATACCAGGCATCATTTTCCCGACTCATTCATGATCAGCTTTACTATCTTATATGGTAATGTGCATCTTACTGAATATAATCATTCCTGTAACTCTCGAAGTACAGTAACACATGTGAAAACTAGACTAGTATTAAGAGCTTCCTAACAGAATACAAAACACATTGACATCACACTGACTCATCATTACAGGGACTTCAGGTTGACAGCGCTGTTACTGCTTCTTTGCACATTGTCACAGCTGTTTGGAATTCCTCTGTCTCCTTCAGTTCGTCAGCTTGTTCCTGAAGAAAACAATCCAAATAGTAAATACGATCGGTATTAACGCCATTTTGGTCTCTGTGGAGTATAACATCGAGATAGGTGGAAGGGAAATAACTCTTACTTTTTCTATTTACTTAAGAAATAGTGAACGAAACAAGAGACTCTAGCAATGAGGGAGGTCACAATACACCTGGAGTGTATCACCATATATTGCAATACAGATGGAAAATATTGTGATGACTTAAAAATGTATAAGGATAACAATTAAATAGTAATTGTTTTTGGTGTTTAAGTGTGAACAACTTAACAGTGACTAACTGTTAACACCTACTACAAACTAAATTGATGAAGGTAACACAGTACACTTACGGTATAGTACTAAAGTTATTGAAGTAAAAAATGAAAAGTCACATGTATAACCAATGCACTAGCTGTGTACATATTGAATAATGTAACAGTAGTTGAAGATGTTTTTTCCTTTTTAAAATATTTACCATATACTTCTGGAGATCCTCTAGTCCTTTAGTAAGCCTTCTCTTTGTATCAGGGATCATGTCCTTGGATTCATCGAGAACTTCTCCCTGCAAGTAAAGACATTTTGAAAAATTGGACAATTTAAATGCGAGATAATGCAATACTGTACAGGCTATGAAAACAAATGTTGATCAGACACACACACAACTGTAACACAATATTTGTTGGTCAGTTGTTGATGTAGGGATGGCAGTGACTATAATCATGTCTTAGATCACAACTACAATTTGTAAATGATTTGGCAAGCCTACGATAGTGAATGCTGAATTTGAACATTTCGATTAACAGAGTAATTTTAACAAGAGCCCCATGGGCCTTAACGGTCACATGATATGTTTATACAGAGAGGTGATTTGGTTTTTAACATGAACAGAAATATTGTTCAAAGTGACAAAAAACAATAAAATCACCTTATTCAATATCTAGCATACAGATTTAAGACTAAAATGTATTTGAAACTAGCACCTCCGATTCTAAACAAGGAAAATGAAGAAATTTCAGCACACTGACTCTTTTGGGCCCCACCCTACAGCCCTTGGGGTAGGGCTGGCTCAAAATTTTCAAAGTATCAAACTGTCAACTCAGGGTTATAATTCCAATCAAGTAATATTCAAAGATCAAGTAATATTCAAAGTATCATTTGCCATTATAAACCATAATAAATTTTGCCCTTTTTGGCCCCAACCATCAGCCTGGGGGGTCAGTCAGGGCTGATATGTGCATACCATCAAACTGCTATCCAATACTGATAATGCTAATCCAAATTGAATTACTTCCAATGGAAATTAAACAAATGTTGGTCCAAAATGTAATTTCCCTATATAAACTGTAGTAAAGTTTACCCCCTCCCCAGGGGTTAACTTGAGACCCCAGGGTCATAAAATTCACAATATTGGTAGGGCACCTTAAGACCCTTCCATCTATGAAGAGTGTTTGATTCTACCATATCTGGGTCTTGAGGAGAAGATTTTTGAAATTTCAGTCAATTTGACCCTTTTTGGCCCCACCCATCAGCCCCTGGGGGTCAGTCAGGGCTCATATGTGCATACTATCAAACTGCTACCTAATACTGATAATGCTTACCTAAATAGAATTACTTCCAATGGAAATTAAACAAATGTTGGTCCAAAATGTGATTTCCTTATATAAACTATAGTCAAGTTTACCCCCTCCCCAGGGTCAAGAAATTCACATTTTTGGTAAAGCACCTAAGACCCTTCCATCTATGAAGAGTATTTGATTCTACCATATCTGGGTCTTGAGAAGAAGATTTTTGAAATTTTAGTCAATTGGACCCTTTTTGGCCCCGCCACCTCAGGCTAATGTGGGCTGGGGACCAAACCGGCCACTATTTTTGTTGACCTTTGGCCATAGAAGGTTTCTGCAAAATTTCATTGAAATTGGTTCAGGGGTTTTGGAGAAGAAGTCGAAAATGTAAATTGTTTACGGACGGACGACGGACGGACGACGGCGGACAAAAGGCGATCGCAATAGGTCACTTGAGACTTTGTCTCAGGTGACTTAAAAAACCCAGTAGCATTATTCATGGTAAAGATATACATGGATATATACATGACACATTTAGCACCTCACAGGGTAAGAAGATCCTAACCAGCCCAATGTTACCATCATAAGCCATTTATTACGGTAAGGAATTGTGCCATTCCGTTGTTCGTCTTTCGCCCCGAAAAGACAAAAAAAACACTGAAATCTTGTTGTTTCATCTTTTCGCCCCCGAAAAAGACAAAAGTCTGAGGGCAAAAAGACGAACATAGAAATGGCACAAATCAGTGTACATATACATGTACATACATTGTTATTTTCATACTGCAAAACACATTGTCAAAAATAATTCTTTAATGTCCAACTTAGTCCAACTTAAAGACTGGTCAGTGTAGTACAGGTAGTCCTAAGTAAACATTTCAATACATAACCAATGTTGAAAAATAAAAAAAATAAACGGATTCAATATATATATACCTGTTTCTTTATATCATATGGATCCTTTCCATCTGCTTTCATCTTTTCTATGTGTTCCTCCTGCTTTACCACTTCCTTCTCATAAGAATATTTCTCCTTCGTTAATCTGTAAGAGCAAAAGAAACTTGAATGCTCTACAAACATGACAGGGGCAGCAGTGAATTTACTGACCTATTCCTGTATTCTAAGATCTAATAATTTTATCTGAAAGACCAACTCAAATCATGTCATTATAAAGGGCTATTGCGTCTCATGAGGTAATATATACATTGTACACACATTTTATTTATGTTTTTAATTTTGAGCACAGGGAATCTCCTCAATTGAAATTTCAAAAAGTTGGCAAGTATGAAAAAAGTTTTTTTTGTTTCATTAATACATGTATACCCTAACATCTTTCCACCTCCCCCATCCCTACCCGAACCCCCACCAAACATTTTCTTTTACAAAATAAGCACTTTTTATTAGTACCTAATAGTTCTCTTAGAGCTATCAGGCACGGCAACTAGCTAGAAACCAACAACGAAATGAGTCTTTATATAAGAAGCAGAGATTCATCTGTATCTTAAAATAAAGGGGTGAAATTATTTAAACTCTGTTTAGCTATGCCTAGATAGGCCAAGAAATAGTGTATGCTTAAAGGTTGTCACAATAAATCAAAACAAGCAAATTCGTGGAATTTATATCCCCCGCTTGCTGGACATAATGTCGATAAACATTATTTAGGTTAGGTTTAAACATGTGAGTATCGTGCTGTTGAGACATAATATATACATGTAGCTTGAAACTCAAAGAAAAAAATGCCTTATACAGAAGTTAAAGAGTTTTTATTGAACATGTAGGTATTACAGTGTAAATTAATCATTTAATCCATCAGAATTTACGAACCTCATTAATTATAAATATGCACAAATGACATTGGTTGGCAAACTTAGCATGAGTACGATGTACATACAGAATTTGGTTGAAATATCTGCACAATATCTACAGCAATTATCACATGAAAACCAAAGAGTGCCCAAGATGGTTGGAAAGACAGAGGAACACAAACATTGTTATCAAGTTTGAAGGAATTTGGCTAATATTTACTAGAGTTATTAAGCGGAAACTGCAGATAATGATGTTTTTCTTTAATCAAGGGGCCATAACTCCGCCAAATGGAGTCTGATTAAAGTGGTTGTCCAAATTGGCCGAGCCCTTAATGCGATGAACCTTGTTACTAAGACAATCGGATAATATTTGCAAGAGTAAATGAACAGAAATGGCAGATGAAGTTTTTCGTTATTCAAGGGGCCATAACTCCGCCAAATATAGTCCACTGAAAGGGGTCAATTCTGTTACCAAGTTTGAAGAAAATCGGTTAACATTTGGTTTCCGCAAGTCCCAAATCTGAGGAAAACAGTTTTTAAAAATAAATTCAGTCTTCTAAACAAAATGTATTCAAATTGTAGTTTATAAATATATACATACAGTATATGTAGGTGTTGTGCAGGTTGAAACCACTATCCATGTTTATCTGAGACATGTATGCCCTTTATTTTTAGGATCAGGCCATTTCTACTGTACTCTGCTACCTAAGGCATTTAATTATATAACCCTGTTACCAAGTTTTAAAAAGTTTTTCGTTACTCAAGGGGCCATAACTCCGCCAAACATAATCCACTGAAAATGGTCATTGAACTTGGCCGAGCCCTACTACCAAGTTTGAAGAAAATCGGTTAACATTTGATGTAGTTATTGCACGTAAACGAAGCAAGACAGATCGACAGACTGACGGACAAATCCAAATGAATATCCCCCGTTACGGTGAAAGTGGGGGATAAAAAAAAGGTAGGTCACATTAATACACTGGAATATTGTATTGAATACAAAAACAGAATACATGTCTTGCTGTGTCACAATATTTTTCAAAAGCTTACTTTCATGTTTATGTGTTTTCAGGTGACAAGATAACCATACAACAGGCTTTACAAGTTGTGAGATTTGGTTGAAATTTCAATTATACCTTAAAACTCAATGATGAAAGAAAATATATGATTTAATTGACAGTATCTTTTTCAACTCACTTTTTTGAATTATACAACATTTGTGGTACATTGTATAGGTACATACATTGCAAGATATTCCTTCTGTATAATTTCGATATTTCCTGAAACACTCTTAGTGTGCTGTGACAACCCTTGTAAGTCAGATAAAACACCCAGGCTACTTACAAGCAGCAGGACAAAAGTAATACCATGGCAAAAGGAGAATTTTATTATGAGTCATAAATTAATCTGATTTTGTTTCAATCAAGATGAAAATATGTTTTTGCTTAAAAGTAAAATGTCAGTTTGCAATCACATCTTTTACTCTGCAACGCCAACCAGTCAATCACGATGCCATCATTTTTCACTGCAATTTAATACCTTTAGTTTTGGAACTCGTCTATTTATCGCCCATGCTGTGAATTCTGTAATACCATTATGGTCCAAAATCAAGGAATTGAATTGAGAAAAAATGTATAAAAAAAGGAACTTCATGATTTTGGTAAGAAGTGGCACAGATTTAGCAATTAAATTGGTAAATGAATACAAGAGGCCCAGAGGGCCTGTATCGCTCACCTGAATGTGTTTAAAATAATTGGTATGAAGTCAAGATATAGCACTCCATGGTAGGTGCTGTAAGTACATATGAAATTTCAGAAAGTTCCATCCAGTACTTGAGATATAGCGAGAACAAACTTCCAAACAGAGCCCCACCCCTATGCCCCTAGGGGGGTCATACCCACCAATTATACAAAATTGAGACCCCTTGGTCCAAGGATGCTCCAGACTAAATATGGAAAAAATCCCTTAATCTCGATGGTCGAAGAAGGATTTAAAAGGATTTACCTCTATTTCTCCTATTGGCCCCCACCCTTCTGCCCCCTGGGAACCACACCCACTGCATATACAAAATTGAGTCTCCTTGGGCACAAGGATGCTCCAGACTAAATTAGGATAAAATCCTTTAATCCCTCTGGTAGAAGACGGATTTTCAAGGTTTTACTTCTATTTCCCCTATTGGGCCCCGCCCCTCTGCCCCCAGGGGGGGCACACCCACCGTTTATACAAAATTGAGACCCCTTTGCCTAAGGATACTCTAGACCAAATTTAGTCAAAATCTACTTGGCCGTTCAGGACTAGTAGCGTTTTAAAGGAAAAGTTGATGGACGGACGTTGCGGTATGGCATAAGCTCACCATGGTCCTTCGACGGACCAGGTACATGTAAGCTAATAACCTTTTCAAGGTGATTTTGCTATGCCATTCTTAAAAAGAAGTAACTCAGTAAAACAGAACAGTGTGAACATAGTTGTATTTACTTCAGTTGTTTAAGAATAAATTTGAGAGATTTGTTTTTGATATTTGCTGCCAGCACTGTTTACATTCACTACCAAACAAAGGGACATCAAGCAAAATGAGAAATATGCATAGAGGAATGCCAAAAAGTGCAAAGCATCAGAACTGGAACAGCATGAAACTAGCCTCCAATAGTTATACATTGTTTGTATATATAGAGGATATTTGATGGTATTGTCAGTAATAACAAATATATTTCACGAGTGTGGATAATATTTTGATATTTTATATGAGTGCGCAGCACGAGTAAAAAAATATCGAAATATTAGCCACACGAGTGAAATATATTTGTTATTACTGAAGACACCATTAAATTTTCTATTTATTACATTTTTAAAGCATAAAACACAAAAAATCTAATGCATTAAAAAGGACGGGAATCAGAAGCGTAATAATTAGCGCCATATCCTAATATAATGACGTCACACTTGACAACAAGGCTGCACGCCATTTTGAATAGGATACTCAACGCAATTCCGACGTTTTCTGCTGTTTTCTGGTATTATTGCTTTTAAAAATGTTATCAATTATATATTTATGTACATACTTAAGTGTGTGTACCAAACATTTACCATAACAACCACTTATTCTGCCGCCGCTTCATTTGAACCTGAACAAAAATCGGTGCCTTTGAAAGATACCGTTATGATTGGTCAATATCAAAAAGTGATATTTTCACACTGTGAAAATATCACTTTTGATATTGTCACAGTGTGAAAGATATAAGTTTTAACAAGTTGATAGAATCCGATATTTCACTGGCAAAAATGTAATAAATATATATATGTAATACATACTGCACAGGCCTTAGAGTCTCCACATCTGATCATGATATGTAAATATATATAGGATCTTACATGAGTTTCCATTTCATATGAGATTTATTGAAATGAAAATGAGTGTAAGATTCTTTTTATTACATAATCAAGATTTGTGGCATTTATTCGTGTGAAATGAAAATTTTTAATGCAACATTGAAATGTAAAAATTGCCGTCATTTTGACTCCAGTGCATAAGTCTGTGACGTCCTGTACTTGTCCTAGTGTGACGTCACAATTGAAACTTACAACCAACACACCCACAGGGCTGATAGGTCATATTACATGGGTTATGCGTACAAAATATGACATGGGTATAATCACAGTTTAACACAGTACATTATGTGACAAGTAAAAATATGAAGTAGTCTTCTCTACCCTACTATTTCTCAAAAACAAATAGCAGAGTTGATAAGATAAGTTATTTCATATTTTTTGTTATATATATCTTCATAGCATTGAGTGACCAGTTTCTAAGCCCTAATTAAGGTAAGTCAAATAAACAAATTAAAGGGCAATATTACATTATTTAATAAATAATGTTACCTGGTAAGTATTTAATTTTAAATGGAAAGTCAATTTTAAAACATTTCCTTTTCTCTACAATGAGACCTTTACCCACCCTGTTGTCATCATTGAACAATGCCATTTCATTACCAGTTTCTGTGTATGTCTTCTGTAAACACACATTGTATATATACATGTATGTATACTGTGATACCACGTACTACACTCCATAAATGTTTGGTTGTTTGTGCTTATAAGTCCTATTAAATGCTTTGGTCATTAAAGGACGAGCCAGGTTTTGGTGGTGGTGGAAAATCAGGAGTATTGGAGAAAAACCACCAATCTTGATCTGCAGCCAGTGCCTGGTGAATACCCCACGTAGGCCTTGAACCCAGTGTTTGAGGCTGAGGGCTACTAGTGATTGTAGACAGTCAGAACCTTAACCTTAATAATCGAAATTGTTGAAGTACCGAAACAACTTACAAAAAAAACCGAAACATCTTCTTTTTGAAGCAGCGAAACTACAGGGTACCGAAACGACTGTACCCCACCACTGTGAGCTCATGAATACGGAAATGTATCAGTAAAAAAATTCACAAAATTATTTCAATGTCTGTACTGTATCTGCTTTAATTTTGAATGACAACAAAATGTTTTGCATCTTTTTCTATAGGGTACTGTATACTTATATACAATAACCACGGATTATAATTCCGTGCAATAACTAGGAACTGAGACGACAAACATAGGATACATAATATATAATATGGGGCTTGTACAAGTCTAGAGCCATGATGATGATGGTCAATGCTATATTTACCGGTGACACAGCCTTCCACCATGCTGGCGAATGATGTCATCGGCCTTATGTCACACTTCATCATTTCACACAGTAAACTAGTATATCCGATCAATATATACTGAAAGGTTATATTATCATTATTTCACAGATGTAAAATACATGTAGCATCATGCTGTCATGTACTGAAGTAGCGTCCACGGTCCAAAGCTTGACAACAAATCGTTAGCCTAACGATGCATGTTTTAAATGTCGATCTTGCTTATAAACGTCATGTATTCTTGATATGAACCATACATTGAATATCCCTTACCTTTTTACTACTCCTGTTTTAATTTTCAACTGTTTCATATTTGGGTCAGCCATGATAAATGTAGTCCGATTTGTTGTGATACCAAATGCTTGTTGCTCCACAGAACCTCGCTTGAAAGCCCGGAAGTTCACATCACATGTAGCAGGAGAGTTCCTTGTATATTGTATGTGAGGCACAACAAGGGATAATCAAAATGAAGCAGTGCAAAAGAAAATATACTTAGTACCAACATTGAAATAAGAGAACTGTAATTTGTAATGAAAGAGAGAAAAAAAACTCACCCATCACCCATGAAATATGAAATCTGAAGATGTATTTGAAATTAAATAATGAATTAGAAGAGAGTTCTTGCTTAAATGTGTCATGAAGGAAATAACCCTCACACATCAAGCCGCCATTTTAACTTGTTTATTCTTACAAAACTGTATTTTCAGAGCTAAATGATTGAATTTTGCAAATATTGTAGCAACCTCATTTTTAAAAAGCTGGCTAGAAATCATATGTAAGAATAAATATCAGAAGATGTTTTTGAAATTAAATAATGAATTAGAAAAGAGTTCGTGTTTTAATGTGTCACGAAAGAAATAACCCTCACACATCAAAGCCGCCATTTTAACTTGTTTATTCTCTAAAAAATGTATTTTCAGAGCTAAATTATTAAAGTTTTCTAGTATTGTAACAACCTCATTTTAAAAAGCCGGTTAAAATATTTTTAAAATAATTAATTTCTGAAGACTTTTTTGAAATTGTCTGAAGAACAAAAACGGAGCCCTTGTTTTCACAGGGCCACGGTCTTGCATGTGCAACCCTTTCGATGTTTTTTAATTTCAAAACTTAATTTTTCAAGTTTACATTCAGTGGAGCGCTCCCAAACCGCATGCAAGTCTCAGCTAGCTATGAGTTTAATGTTACGTTGATTTTCGATGTTTTCTCATGGCATAATTATGTTTGAACAGGCCATATCCAATAGCGTAACTTGCGATATGACATCCGGTTACCGTGACCAATTCTCTGTCCTCGAGCTCTGATACAAGTAAATTAAACTGTGACACAAAATAGTATGCTCAGTTTTGAATATAAATTTACCACACATTACGTACATTTTCATTTAATCATTATATTCTAACAGTGACGTACATGGCTTATATATCTGCCTCTGATTCTATATTATAAGTTCATTTGTAGTTACGGTACGTATGATTTGTTAATTAACGTTAGTGTAAGGTGACACATCCTCAATTTCCAGGGGTTACGCTCATTCTGTAGAGAGTGAAAGTGAGCGTAACCCCTGGATATCAAGGATGAAGGTGATAGTACCCAAATTGGATCACCAAAACATCATTTTATTCATTCATTGGAAATTCTGAGGATGAATTATAATCATGTATGGTTGTATTAATCAAAGGAAGAATATCGATTGGTGTTCTTACAACAACAAAAAATAGCACCCGGGTCTCACGTGAAATATTTTTAGGACGCCCTGACGTTACCTCTCATCGGTTCCGGTTTATGAGAATGTTAGGACACAAATCGGATCAAGGCTTGAATTTTGCAGTATATAATTACACTTCAAATGATCATTTTTTTGTCAGCATATTAACATTTTATGATGACATTTGGAATTTATATGAAAACAAATATTTCTATGGGTAATTTGTTCCTATATTCAACAGAATGCATAGTCGTACGTCGTCTGTGCGTCCGTCCGAAAGGTTTCCGGATCATATCTCCTGTACTATTTCACCTACGGTTATGAATCTTGGTTTGTGGGTACATGCATGGAAGGCGGTGTGTCGCGTACCATATATAGGTCACTGTGACCTCTACCGTGACCTCTGACCTACGTAATATGAGACTTGCAGCATATAAACTCTTCACTTGATTCTTCCAATTCACATGCCCATCACTCCCACCAATTCCCGATCAATCAAAGCGGGGGTATTCACGAGACCCCCATTCGAGTAACATCTAGTTTTTCATGTTTCATAATTGTAAATGCCATTTAGTACTTAAGCAATAAAGGTTATACATTACCAAAACTTTTATTCAATGGATTAAAGAAATCATATATATATATATATATATATTAGCGTATGTTCCTCTTCGATGTTAACTGGAACTTTTGCGTCATTGCACCGATTTCTTGGCCCATGTATTCCCCTCTGTGTCTAACAGTGTCCTATACCCCAACGATTGGCGGTATACAACCATTATGACGTCATAATCGGTTTTTGACTAAAAACAAAATTGGAAAACTCACCCATCACTCATCCTGAAAGCGTTCCTTAAGAACGGATGTCATTTTGTTTTCATTTTAAGATTCAACTGTACAATTGAACATGTATACTATTATAATTATATGGAATAGTTATTCTTATAGATAGGAAATTTCTCAATGATTTAACTTATATAATTAAGCGCATCTGAGAAGACCAAAATGCGGAAAAAACATAAACTCTTTGTAAAAAGAGCACGATTACGAACTGAGACATATCAGGAGGATGGTGAAGGTTTTGAAACTACGACAGTCCTTTTTTGTTAATTTATACGACAAAACAACACAAGCTTCCGCGCAAATTGTATTTTTTTGGACAAATTTGAACTTATTCATCCCGATACAGGTAGACCAACACTACAAACATATAGAACCAAACTGAGATGATATTTCAAAGCAAGTGTGTCAAAATACAAATCAGATTTTTTAAAACCTGTGTGTAAAGTACTTTAAGCCGTTTGGATTTCCAACGTTTTGGTCCTTACCATCAACAATGATACCCAAAATGAAAACACAGCTGTACGATGTAGTGAAATTATTTTTTTCCCGCATATTGTATCTTTTACCTAATTTCAAAGTTGCAATTACCTGTGTGTGTGGTGCATTCATCTTTCTACAATTATAGACACCGTTTACGATGACATCAGTAGAATCTATGTCAAAAATAATATGGTGTATAGATTATCTGATTTATTACAACAAATTCTGTAATTGTGTGTAATAGAAAATTTCATATTTGTTATAGCGACATGAGTGAATGCAATTATTTCAATTTAGTCACCAAAAGACTTCCTGATTATGTTAAAACTTATGGAAAGAATATATTCAATGTCTTAGTTTGGGGAAAACGCTGAATAAACTCTATAAAATACAATATGTGATCAGTCTCCTTGTGATGTAGAAATCCAGTCCGGTTTGGTCTTGATCAATATGTTTGCTAAAATGTATCCAAAATTCAATCGTTGTTAAATAAACGATAATAAAAATAACTGTTATTTTTTTAAATGTAGTTTGTACATCTCGTGCGTGGAAAAAGTTAAGAGCGTATTGAAAAAGCAAATATCTCAACCAGCATATAACTACAGATTTCACGTCAGCCAGCTTAAAATGGTCGACTACGGTCGATTCCGTTCGCCTCAAGGAATGTACAATATTCAAAGTGTAGACTTGTCATCATTTTCATGTGTAATAAATATATATCATCTGTAGATTTTATATTTGTGATGGTAGTGATTATACATATGTTCTATGACTAATGTACAGTGTACTTGTGTGTGCGTCATGTATTAAGTGTCATTTTCGACGAGAAAACAAAGCACAAAACCAACCCAGTTGTTTACCCGTCATTTATATAGACTTCAAGCCGGTTACAACAACAGTATACAAAAAATATGGGTCTAGCTCTAGATAACCCCAATACCCAGACGTGATAATTTGTACATAGCATATATATATATCACAATGGATTTCAAAACTCCAAAGCACTATGAGAAATATATATGTCTTTCGCAATGAAAATACCTAGCTGTTATGTCTTTTAGCTCTTCAAGCGATGAGATGAGATTAACTTGGTGGTAATACGTGTTGTTGAAACTGAACACATTTCAGATTGTAACTTGCACAATGGCTGTATATGATGCACAAACATTTACATTACATTATAATACGGAAGCTTACACGTATCATGAAAATATTCAAGATAATCCTTATAGGTTTCCGTTAAATGGCAATGGTAAATATTGAACAGGCGTCCTTGGAAAATGTCACCAAACTTTATGAAGGTATATGAGAATTAATTTACACCCGACTATGATAACTGCTCGCAAGAGTGTAGACGTCTTGAATTATCTAAATATGTGTGTAAATTAACCATCACAGTTTACAAATACAATTTACGTGCCATTCAAGCCCTTGGGGGTTGGATGCCGTGAGTATCCCTCATGTGTTTCAGTAGGTTGTCCCGCCTGCTGTACACTGCGGAACACATGGTACAGAAGTGTTGTACTCCCATGTGATTGACAGCGTGTCTCCTTAAAGAGTCCCTAGTACTGAGTACAGTCTGACACACCACACAGGGGAACCTTTTCCCGGTCCCATAGTCCGTGGGAAGTACATTATTGTGTTGGTCCCCGTGTTCCATGATTGCTTCCCATGATGTCAGTAACATACCACAGATCAGGCACTTGTTGTTACCTTTACTTATTTTCTTCCTTCCGGTGAATCCTGTATTAGAAGCATCCATATCAAAACTCTTGTTCAAACTGTTTGAAGGCGAAGACTCGTAGCTTGGAGGAAAATAACTTGGATATATATTTCCTAAGAACTCAGTTGCTTTGGATAGTATATCCCCCGATCTGGTTCCAGAATACCCGGCTTGCTGTATCGGTGTGGATTCAGTATGTTGAAAGCTTCGCATGTCACTCAAATTCTCAATGTCTATTACTTCTTCAAGTTGAGTGCTGCGACTTCCCAGGGCCATTCTGATGGTTTCATCGTCTAAGCCCGACCCGTGCGAGTCGTTATAGAGATACAGAGCCTGGCCTTCTACCGAGTCGTTCGCGACGATTGGATCGGCAGTAGTCACATGTATGTTTTCGTTCGACATACTGGTGTGTATACCACTACCAGCCATCTCTGTGGACATTTCGTCTGAATGGAACGCCGAGACGTGGTGCTGAAGCTTCTCGAGCTGGGGAAACTTTACATCACATGTGCTACAACTGTAATTGAGAATGGAATTCGAGCTTAACGGGTTTACACCTTCCGTCGTGGGAACATCATTTGATGCTTGTGTTCCTCCAGCGGAGTATAAGGCAACAGGGTCAGTTGTATCTCCCTCCGTTTGTTGGTTCCCAGGTATCGTGTTGGTCTGATGAACGTCCTGACCATCAAAATACCCCTCCGGTTCTTCTTTTATCTGTATTGGAGAGTCATTAGGCTGGACAAGAGGATGACACACCTCTGAATCTGAGTTGGGATCAGGTATTCTGGAAACCACCTGTGGTATATCTGAAGGCACGTCGGTTTCCATTGGAGGGTGCATGGTGTTCTCTGTCGAATCGTTTGAAGACGTCGACAATACTGGAATCACAGATGTATTTCCAGAATCAGAAGTAGAGTCACCTGGTACTTCAATAAAGCCTTGACTTCCATGGAGATCATGATGAGATGCTGGTGTCTGATGAGTTCCTTCGATTTCTTGAATCGGTTTCGGGACTTTTCCCAATCTTGTTAGCAATTGCTGTGCTCTCCTTTGCATCGAATTAATGTTATGTTTCTGAAACAGATGCGACGTAAGGTTATCTTTACGTCTGTACATGGCAGGACAGAAGGGACACGTGAACGCGATGTTGTGAATGTGACCGAGGAAATGTCTGCGCAAGTTACTGGTCGCTGGCAACGTGATCCCACACACCACACACTGGTTGGGAAGGTTATGTTTGGTGCTATGTGACTGGTTGTCCGCAAAACTTGTCAACACATCACCACAAGCACAACACTTTGCGTCATTCGCTCGCTGGCTTGGCGGCTGTTGAACCAGCTTGCTTATTTTAGTGTTCCTATACTTCCTTCTTTGTAAATGAAAATTCACTCTGGATAAAAACGGTGAGCTGACCCTAGGAGCATGCACCAGTTGAGTAACTTTCGTTTGTGATGACGCTCTAGGTTCTCTAACTGGACGTAGGAAAGTGTTAGACGACCCCTGTCTTCTATATGTATTACCAGACGGTGCTGTGACAGTGGGTTGTGCATCCTGTTTGTTTTGGGGTTGACGGCCTGCTAGATCAGTTAAGTCAATGACACTTACATTCCTGGTGGGCATGTCTTCTCCGCTGGGAGACTTGTAGTCTGTCTGTTTACTCTTACTCTGATCATATGGTCTTTGTCTTGATTTATCACTTGATGAGTACAAATACTGAACTGATTCTTGGTCCACATTTCTCTCGTGTATTGTTTCTTTCGTATTGTTTAGTGAACTTGCCTGGTTAGCGTGTGCAGTGTTCCGCAGTCTGTGTTCCGGTGACGTTGAATGAGAATTGTTTTCAAAATTGTGTCCTGTTGCGACCTTCGCTAATCTCTCATTTCCCATCCACCCACACGGCGAGCTTATCAAGGATACAGAAGAGGGGACAATGAGGGTTGCGCGACCCGTACCTCCGGAGCATGGGTCATCGATATCAATCACGTCGTCTTTGTGAGCGTTTCTTGTAAATGTTGACGCTGGATTTACACCTGAAAAGCAAAGTTAAAAGATAGGTAACAGTTATATAAGTTTATGATTTATACCTTAACATCACATTCACAACATGGTACTCCAGATCTGTATGACCTCTTTGATAGCACAACGTTTTAATAATACATATTATTTTATCCAATGTTACTTAGCTCGCCAATTAGTCGCAGGCAAATATGCCTAGTCAGTACATTTACCACACGAATTTGATATATTTGAATCACATTAGATCAGCACATGGCTTTGAACAGGATTCAACCGGAGACATATATGAGAAATGAATGCAGTAAGCTTGCAACGTTTTTACTACCCTGTCTGTCGGTTTTTCTAAGATAAGTAGAAGGTTAGTGTATATCTGCAGGAAGTACATTTCAGGTTATTTATGACTCTTTTTGATAATGTTAAATCAACGTACCTGCTGTTTTGAATAATTAGTCTGTCTTATTAGTACGGGGCTTCCAATAGACAATTGAGGCTATTATTTTGAGTTCCCAACAATCAGTTTTGATGGTTGGGTCTAACTTCTAAAGGACAGGCCTATTTCAATCTGATTAAAATCATGTTACATGGCTTCGTTAACTTCAGGCGGAGCCATGTAACAGATGATTTTAATCAGATTGGGCCTATTTGACATGTGTTTTGACTGTCAAATTAAAGGGGGAAATTCTATTTGAGTTTTGGCTTTGGAAACTATCAAGGATCAACTGAAAGCCATGTAGTGATGATATTGTCCTTGATAGGAGCTGTACTTGATTTGGTTGTTGTCAAGGGCAGTGTTTTGTAGATGCAGTTATGAAGTATCATTTAGGGACAAATGAGTATTTATAGATAGACAATGCTTGCTTTCGGGTTAACTTAATTTGCTCATCAAACTGACACCCAACTAATTCACTCCATATTACCAATACATATGGATTATATTGTGTGTTTAATCAATATCTTTCTTTCATAATTTGTATTACTGTGGCCTAGTAGACTACATTGTATTTTACTGAATTTTGATTTTATATATTTTCGTATATTGTATTTTTTAATTCATATTGTATTTAATAACAGCAGGTAATTGTATTTAGCAGTATTGGTAGGGACCATTCAGGATAAAAGGGATTACAGGTTATTGTATTTAGCAGTATTGGTAGGGACCATTCAAGATAAAAGGGAATACAGGTGTATACTCACGTTTCTACAGTAAATGTACCTGTACATCCAATAGATCTAAAAAGATGTCCAGTACTAACATAACCATGGCATAGCCCATAATCTTTTGGCCAAACACAAGTGTGTGTTGGGGGGGGGGGGGGGCAGTTCCTTTCTCTGCGATCATGTTGTAAATTAGATAGGGTTATAGAGGCTGCCTGCGTCAATCAATCAACAAAATGTAATTAACGGCACCTAATATAATGAGAAAGAAAATCGTGGAAACAGCAAGACATATTCTTAACTTTAAACTTAAAGGGGTTGGTTTTTTTGGAGAGGAAGAATCTAGATAAATATGTGAAGGATATCACAGTAGAGATCAGTGTATGACCATCAACCAATGATACTAAAATCATAATTGTACTTCTACTTTTAAATGGTAATGACCAACTTCAACAAGTTGAAGAAAATGTCATGAGGGAGAAAGAGATTTAGTTGATTCAGAGAAAGCCAAAATGATACATACATGTAAACAGATTTAATTTTGAGGGTACAGTGACAGGAGAGCAGATTTAAAAGATTCAGTAGTAGAACAGGAGAATATGATATCTGGTGGGATCTTATTCCACTCAGATATTGATCGTGGAAAAAAAGGATTGTTTTCTGACCTGGGTTCTGCAGTGTGGTATTTGGAAGGATTGGTGATGGGCATGCCTGGTTGCTGGTATAAGTCTAGGTTGTTTACTAATAGCTACCTGATTGTTTACAATTTTGAATATCATACATAGGCTTGTGTCTCTGTGTCTGTCGGCAAAGGATTCGCCATTTAAGATGGTTCAACATATTAGAGACCCTAAATGTCTATGAGTGTAAACGTTTTAGTTTAATACGTAACGAGCAGCCCTGCGTTGTACCATTTCAATTATATTGATGTTATCCTGGGTGTATGGGTCCCAAACAGGACAGGCATACTCTAGGGATGGTCGGACTAATGATTTGTATGCCTGTGCCTTAACTGATGTTGAACCTATTAAGTTTCGACGGAGGAAGCCAAGTGTGGACTTTGCTTTGTTGGTAATATTATTTATGTGGGAGTCCCATTTTAAGTTAGATTGGATTGTAACATCCAGGTATTTTGCTTGGTCTATGTGTTCTAGCGTTTGCCCATGGAGGATGTAATCATGGATAATGGGGTTTCCTTCTTGTTCACAGACAACACATTTAATACACTTGCTCGGGTGGAAGGCCATCTTCCATGTCTTTTCCCAGAGCGCCAGATTGTCCAAGTCTTGTAGTAGAGTTTCAGCATCACTGTTAGACTTGACTACTAGATAAGCGATAGTGTCTGCTAACAGTAACAAGCAGATGTTAGCGTTTAGGCCCACAGAGAGGTCGTTAATGAAATAAAGAAATAAACTTGGTCCGAGGACCGATCCCTGTGGCACACCAGAATGGACGTTGACAAAGTCAGACATTTCCTCCTCCACAACTACAGATTGCTTTCTGCCATTGAAGAAGGAAATTCTCAATCCAGTTTACTGACTACATTGTACCTTTCCTTTTACATCATAGTACTTAAAGTCTTTAGATTGTGGATGAGAAGGGAATGGCTGACTTTGTCGAAAGCCTTGGCGAAGTCCATGATGAGAATATCAGTTTGGCTTCCTTCGCTAAGGTTTCTGGATATATGTCATCGGCTTGGGGGGTTCATATCTAAGTCGCTGTATGCCTATAGCCTAATATAAAGCATCAATACGTACCTGACCCAGTAAGGAACTATTCGTTTATTAAATCCTTATGAAACCAGTTACATAATAACATCACAAAAAACAATAATCACACACTCTACTTCAATGTTTTACCTGCTGCAGTCGAGCTATCAGATGTGTTGGTTGGTTCGACAAGGAGAATTGCAACAGCGCCAATGATTTTACTTTGATTCACATCAAGTTTATGGCGGCTGTGGATGGTCATGAACCCCGAGTGAGCGTCAACAGAAATCTCAGCCATGTTTAGACTTCCCATAATGCCAGTGTCGTTGTTTTACCAGTCACAATGAAGGTTTATATTGAAAATTACCATTGAAACATCGCTTTCTTCCTAACTTAGCTTTGTTGATAACGGAACCGGAAGTTTATATACCAGTCAAAGGGGGAATTAATTATAGCATCAAATGGGGCTCCATTAGGGAAATCGTTTTACAGCTAAGCGCTTCCCGCTGATTTTCCGCAAATTAATCAATTTTATTGTGAAAATTGTAAACCGATATATATTTTCCCTGATTACATCAGATTGGAAACGAAATGATTAATTAAATAAAAAAATAAACACAACTGCTTCATAGGACCAGAGACATATAAAGCCATTGATAGTATATGTACATACGTCTCTGATAGGACTTCATTGTATATGTGTGTGTTTTTTTATACTCATCAATAGAAAAACACACCATTAATGCTTTAAATACACGTGGAAATCCGTCTTTAAATAGGTAGTATATCACATCGTGTTGAACCCTTTCTTCTTAAATATAGTAAGGTTAAGTTAAACTACGACATGTTAATTAATTAACAGATGCACGACTGCGATGTATGATTTAGTTCATGGAGACAAAATATACCATGTTCTCGGTGTTAAAATCATTCACGTCTGGAGTTTTAGCATAATTCAACAGAATATGATTTACAGTAATATACTTCGCAAAATATGTCACCATGCATGCAGTACGTACCGATTCCACAATATTCACAACCTGCTACCGCCAAATTCCCTTTGATTTTTTTTTATATTATATGCAGTGTATGGGACAATGTACAATGACCTTTATACTATAGATTTATGATCTAACAACCGATTTGGAATTATACAAAAAGCTACATGAAACAAAAATGAGACTTTCACAAAATTGTAAGTCAGAATTTCATATAGGATTGGGAAGATAAAACAATTACTTAAAACAACTGTATTATTTTGGTATATTTTATAGTTTTCCTTAATGAAAATTAAAGAAGGATAGTACCTTTTTATTAAAGTATATATCATTCGAAATACATATATATTTATATCCTGGTCGTCTTTCCAAATCATATGGGTATATTTATCATACGCGATGTTAGTTCATAAATTATTGCAATAACGCCTAATTAACCCAAAGCCAAGGAAGCGATACTATAGGGATATATCCCAGTCATTTAGAGTAGGCCTTTTATATTCAACATGTGACATTACATTACATATATACTTCCTTTATTTCATTAAGCGTAAAAAAAAATCCCCGAAGATAATTACATCCGCTCGCAACGACGTCCTGTAAATTATAACCTTTTTTTCTCAGTCAAGGTTGCTAGGCTTATTGAAATTGTATTTTGTTATATTAAGCAATTAACATGAAACAAGCATACCGAAGCCTTTGTGCCAGAGGTCAGTCATCCGGGACAGCTGGCAGATAAACTAACGCACATAAATTTCAACTCCCTGCAAGTCGTTCTGAATTACAATGTAAGAGTCGCATGACATGAAAACAGCTGCATGATGGGACACGCATGTTTTTTTACTTCCAGATTCCATGTGGTTGACAGCGAAACACCAATGCTAACTGACGCACTGCTTTGACAATGTGTGATTTGTTCGTCTGCAATGATGTGTCATTCATTTCGACTGTAACGCCATATCAACACAGTTCCGTGCTTACATTTACCATGTTCAAGCATTTTAATTAATATCACAGAAAATAAAATAAGCTTATCATTTCCACTTTTCATTGAGTAGATAAAAACAGACACCACGCTACGATTACAACGTCATCGATGAAGTAAACACGTGGGTCATGGCATTTACAGCCTGAGTGAATGTCATTTGTTAAACCTGGTACAAGGAGAAAAGGCCATACAATGGTAAACTAATACTTATCTGTAGACACTGGATACATTAAATAAAAGGACAAGCCGATATTATAAGTCACTGTTTATTTCATAATTCAACATAACCGATGAAGATACATTCATCCGTACCATGCAGCAAACAATACGTACATTTTGAGTTAATGAAGTTTTAACCTTTTCATGTCACAAATATGGCGGTAGTGTATGAGCACGTGATACTACACTGGTAGGAAACGGGAAAAAATATACTACTGTACATTTAGAATCCTTGTACCACTGCCGAAAACCGTAATTGTGCAATGATTTATTCCAGCATGAATACACAAAATATAGCTGAACAAAAGCAGGGATGTGTAGTGGACACTACACATCCCTCTGACAAAAGCCATACCTTGCCATTTTCACAAATGATATTTAAAAATGAAAACAAAAATAATCAACAAGGGTTCTGAGCGTACAAAACAATTGGGCCCAGACAAGGATTCGAAAAAAAATAATAAATATTACAGTGAAATTATCTAGTGTTTTTCCTGCAGTGGGACAAGCATCCTTAATAAGACATACATGTATATATGCATCATTGAACTGAAATTTATGCTACAAATTAACAAAGTATGTCAACAGCAACATGAAAACGTGGTAATACCTGATACAGTGTAGCATACTACAATTAGTATACAAACTGAAGAGGATAGTTGGCGACTCCACTGTTTGACAGTGACAATAGTAATACTGAATCATTTCTGGATGGATTTTTTTTCAAACATTACTATGTAATGGAGGGTACTGCTACATCGAAATATGTCCAGCGTATATAATGCCCACTTACTAAGCAAACTGGCACAAAATTATACAATATTTGAACTTCTATTATGTTAAAGAGTATTTGTCGGATATTTATATCTCCTTTGTTATCCTTGACATTTCAAGGGTTACACTCTCTCTGCACATCTTGAATATGTGATGACGAAATCGAGACTTTGTAAGCGCCACCTTTTGGGAAATTCAAATATAAAAAAGAATCGGGCGGCACTGTTACTGTAAAATTGACTGGCTTAAAGTCGGGTGTCGCTCCTCTGTCAAACTTCGATTTTGTTATGACATAATATATGGGTTGAGAGAACTAATTAAGTGAGACAAGCTATTGGAATTTCTATGTGATTCTATTTCTGATACATTTTAACACCAAAGGTAACAAATAAGAATTTCAATAATTCTAGTTTAGATGTAGCATTCTTTTGATAATACGACACTGACTTATTACTCATTGTTTGAGACGGTGTTAAATTTATCCACAAGTTGAGCGTCTACATTTTAGGAGACATTGGACTGTCACACAATAAATAATAAAGATAAGGTCACAGATGATAAAAACTAGTCCGATCTGATCAATCTGATTATCATAAAGTATTACATACATGCATATACGATAGGTAAAATAGTGAACAATACTGAAAATCCTATATGACGGAATACTCCGTCTTTGCGTATTGCAGAGTTACAAAATTACATCGTTTTCTCAAAAATTGATGAGGTTACTCTCACAAACCAATGACGTAACAATCAATACCTGCTCACAAGAGAAGATAACTCTGCAATACGCAAAGACGGAATAATGTACATGTGATACCAGCACATTTTCAAGAACAGGACAATTAGCCTATACTAAATGAGGACAGGTGCCTACTTTGTGATACAGTATGTATCGGTTCAATTCCACAATAACTCAAACGTGGCAATGAAATAAAGGTTGCAATCATACAATGCAAGGATAAAAAAGTATGGGCTACATAATTTATCACATGACCTTATTCGACATTACACGAAATACCATGTATACTAACATCTACTTGCACGACTAAAATGGTGAATCTTGGAGACCAGGCTTTTCTCCAAATTTCAGGAGGAAATGTAGTAATGAGAAAAATGTAAAAGAAAAATAAAAGTTTTTTTAAAGGAAAATGATACCCTTTTGATTGTGGGAGGTGTGCGTCACGGTGGGGGGGTTGCAGTTTCCTGGATCCTCCACTGAATCATGCCGGTCAAATGCTATCTCATAATGATAATTTTAGATCAAACAATTCTTGTTAGTTTCATTACTTTATCGGTAATTATTACCGTAATTCGTGTGAATTATAAGCATCGATAGTGGATCTATTTCAAGATTCACGCAAACAATTATTCATAGACTGTTTGAGACATACACGTTCAGTGAAACAGTAATTAATTCCTCTGAGACAAGTACACATAGATAAAAGGTCACCAAAACTAAGTGGGTGCAAATTAAAAGCAATCTGCAGTATATTTTCCTCATTAGTTATGAGATGCAAACACGCGTCTGACAATATATTTATGGAAACAAATACAATTTTTGGCACTGAGCAATTGACAACTCAATGAAAACAATCATTAAAATTATTAGTATAAGGTGAATACAATTACTGTGTTTCATATCAAAATCAGCATTTGAAGGTAACACCAATAGAGTCGTGATGGAATACACACTATGCCAATACAAAGACTTTCTTCTAAGTAACATGGTTTAATTGTAATAAGGGACCATACACTTATGTAATGAATACATATATATTTGTACCAAGTTCAGAGCAAGGCCTAGTACCAATTTTCTGACTCCATAACTCATGCATAACCATGTACCTTATTAACACTCCAAAGGATCCAAATTTTCAATAGCACATTTGGAAAAGACATTTGACATTCTGTGGTTTTGTCGATCTTGGCTCTGTAAAAATGGAGATGTGCACATGGAACAGAACTCTAAAGTACCTGAATATCATGAACAGCTGGGAGATCCAATACAAAAATAAATAATAGGATCATCATGTGACAGGCCCTGTCAACAAATGCCCCAGAAACTCAGGTCTGGGTGGGTGACCATTAAAAACTTCTGTATATATACATGTTGTACATGGAATAAACACAAGCAGTGATTGACATTCTAAAATTAACAATATTGCAACTAAACTGCAGTAACCAGTGATTGATATTCTAAAATTAACAATATTGCAACTACACTCCAGTAAACAGTGATTGCACCTAGTTTTAGTGTATATACATCATAATGTAACTGCAGCTGTGAAATAGGAGTCATAGGCAGTGCAGTGTTCCGTGCAGTGTACAATGTACAAAGTAAGTTTACTAAATGTTGTTATTTAGAAACTGAACTTTTCATCTTCAGAAACTCACTTAAATGCTAGTACATAAAATTGTATTTAAAATGGGGTATATTGAGCCTTTCTGTATGAACAGACGATGAGAGAATATATTTCTACCCAGAGTAGGTACTTGTGTGGTACAACTGCTAAAAGGGCTGGTAACTCCAGCAGATTGGACTGTAATAGAACATGTACATTATATTTATATAATCAAGTTAAAGATATATGTTTGTTGATGATTCAATAGAAAATACATGTATGCAGATGATTAAATAGTATGTATATAATCACATATCAGACTAGATTGTCATCAAAAAAATTGTCTTTGACATTCGGAAAAAAACAAAACATCTTTCAGATGAATACATATATGTACATTACATACGGTATCAATTTTCAAAAATCAGTAAAAATGGCGATAAATTAATACCAAGCTGGAGACTTTGAACAGTGTTGTGAGCACCCAATCTGATTAAAACCAGACCGTTGATTTCACTCCCGATACTCGACGTTCCTTTTACTATCGTGAGTGGAAGCAAAGATCTGGTTTTGACCAGATTGGTGAGCACCTGTACTATAAATACAAAATATATTTTTTATTGTTGATCACAAACAATCACAGACATAGTGGAAATTATTATGAAATCAATGTGGAGGTCTGACTAGAAACAATGTGAAATGTAGAAAGGTTGAACCAGGATGCTATTTCTTCATCAATAGAAAAGATGTACAAGCATGTGATATAGCAACGAGATCTTTCCTAAACAGTATGTGTAGTCTTTGATTACTATTAATTAAAAAACCTAATAATAAGTTGAATGTTAAATGTATTCATAAAAATAAAATTAAAAAAATGTCACTTTCAGAACCCTCCCCACTATTTTGTGTCCTTACAGTAGTAAATGGAAGGTCTAAATAAAGACAGTGTTTACAGATGATTGTGCCATTCAAGGACATCTTTAAATTCCATCTTGCTGAAATATCATAGTTTGAACACTGTCGTGATATTCTACTCGGTAAAACTTTTCTGACAAAAAAAAGGTAGACATATACAATTAACGTACAGTAATCATGTCTACAATATCACTATACAGAAAACAAAATCTGACCAATGATCAGTAGTTACAACATGTATAAATTGAACAACAACATTTCTAATAGTAAAGGATGTATGCTACCTTACTTTAACATGTACCTCCATTCTAAAAGAGTTCGAAATACAATCTTTTGTAAATAGTCACGACGTATTTGAAGATATAGCTGCATTTGAAAGATACAAAAAGAATACATGCACTCATGCAATGCTGAATAAAACATTTTAAACTTTAATAAGGGACATGACTCTATTAAATAAATCTGAGGTACATGTGTTTTTCTTTAATTGTATTTTTTAAGGGGCCATTAGAAGATGGAGTAAGATGTTTGTGGTAGCATATATCCTTGAAGAACACATCTGATTGATAAACATTTTAACAAACTTATTTTTGAAGAACTAAAAGCAACTATGGTATGCTGTAAACGTCATACCACTAAAAAAACAAGTTATAACATCATCGTTGACACAAATGGATCAGGTGACAGGTCCAGACTAACGGTGTGTGTTTGTTACCTTGGCTCCTCAGGTTGGGCACAGTACAACCCTCTGTGTACTCCCTCAGTGATGATGTCATGTAGACTACCTAGAAAAGTTTAATAGAGTTTATTGAAGATAATAAGACATGAAGACCATATACATTTTTTCGTATCAAAAACATTTTTCGCGAATTACTTCCTTGCATGATCCAATGGGGATTAAATACAGTAAAGGGAGATAACTCATGAATAGCTCATGGATATTTCTTAATTTTAGGCATGTTTGAATTTTATTTAAATATTTAAGACCTTACCTACAAAAGGAATTCAAATGAACTTTTCTACTTTTTCAATTTTTGCAATCCCTTAAAACTGGTGAATTTCTGTATGCAGGTATCACACAAATTTATCAAATATTATACAAGTCATTTCAAAAATCACATAATCTGAAATCTCCTATTCAGACGGTTCTGTTGATGAGGTCCACCCATTTGTTCCAGCCAAATCTCTAGCATATTAGATTAACCTAAGATTGATAAAGTATACATAATTTATGTTCTGTATAGCAAACTTTGTTATAAGTGTTTAGCTAAACAATAAACTTCATTAAACAAGATTTTATGAACTCCTCTCTGAAATGAGACCAGGAACAATCAACATGAACATACTTTTATTGTTGTCCAGTAGGAAAGCGTCCGGCTGGAACCCAATCATAGGCTGGTGAGCCAGAGATACATCATGGTCAACTTGGGTCAGTGGCCTAGATTAAGTACACATACACACAATGTTTTGATACAGCGTAGTAGCAGAAAAACAAGGGAAATAACTCCAGTTTACAGATAAAATGTCAGTGGTCTCGAGCAGGAACATATAATCATGTACAGTAAACAACATCTCAATACAGAGAAGGGAACACAAACAGAAAGATAAGGGAGATAACTCTGATTTACAAATAAAACTTGCCAACTATTAAATTATGAAGAATTTTATTCACAAAGATCTTCATAGATTATCTTATGGTACAGTGTGAATTATTTTTGATTTTCTGGTTAAGTAAAGCCAGCCTGCATATAAATGTCATATTCAGGAATATAAGCCCACCACCCCTAGTAATCACAATATTTGTTTATTACTTGAAGTGTACATGTTTTCAGACAATGAAAACATCAATATTATAAATAATGTACTTACTCCATATTGTTGATAACGGGTAGCGTAATACACAGGAACCGCTGTATACTTTTTGAGATGTATTCATTTTCCACAACTCCCTGTAACAAAAACAAAATCCTAACTTGATGATGTCACATTATAGCAAAGACATTAACATACATGTTTAGACAGAGAATGGTTTTCATCACATATAGTACTTCAACTGTCTTTATGACAAGATCTGGGAGAAAAGCAAAGTTGATCATTTGTAATGACATGTCTGTGTGTTCAAGCTGAGGAAGAAGAACTTTGTTTTCAGAACTTCAACAAGCCTCATTAATTCTGACCAAAAATCTTACTCCATCTGATTCTAAGAATTACTACAACAGAATATATATAAACTTTAATTAGTTTATAACAATTATAAAGCAACTTTTTTTCAACTTATATTAATCACTTTTGTTGGCCCAGATGGAAGCGTGCAGCAGGTCTTATCATGAAAAGAAACAGAAGTATGCAGGGAAAACCAATGACGTTGGGCAGGTGACCCAATTCTTATTCCTGTCCAGTCAGTATATAGGTACCTGTAGATAAATCTGAAGACAAATGCGTCTCTGTTCTAGGACCTTCCTGGTCGTGTGTCCAGTATGACTGGCAGTAACATATATAGGTACCTGTAGATAAACCTGAAGACCAATACGTCTCTGTTCTAGGACCTTCCCGGTCGTGTGTCCAGTATGACTGGCAGTAACATATATAGGTACCAGTAGATAAACCTGAAGACCAATGCGTCTCTGTTCTAGGACCTTCCCGGTCATGTGTCCAGTATGACTGTCAGTAACATATATAGGTACCTGTAGATAAACCTGAAGACGAATACGTCTCTGTTCTAGGACCTTCCTGGTCGTGTGTCCAGTATGACTGGCAGTATCATATATAGGTACCTGTAGATAAACCTGAAGACGAATACGTCTCTGTTCTAAGACCTTCCCGGTCGTGTGTCCAGTATGACTGGCAGCAACATATATAGGTACCAGTAGATAAACCTGAAGACCAATGCGTGTCTGTTCTAGGACCTTCCCGGTCATGTGTCCAGTATGACTGGCAGTAACATATATAGGTACCTTTAGATAAACCTGAAGACCAATGCGTCTCTGTTCTAGGACCTTCGGATTCCATTTCATCACTTTTTTTGGTGGAAATTCTGGTGTTCTGATAATCTTTTTCAGCTGAAAGATAAGAATATATATTTGGTATAGTCAATGAAATATAGTCAATGAAACCTTGTTGCCAATAAACAAAAACTTGTAGACATGATGTGAGTCTCTGTTCCAAAACCTTAACTCATTCACCCATGAAATTTCATAATGAACTATTCCAACCTTTGAATTGGAAGAGTTCAAATGCATCTTCAGGGGTCAATGAGTTAATAGAAGAATTTCTTTCAATACTTTATTTGGTGACAATTTTGATATACAGGGTACCTGTTATAATTTTTCAGAAAATACAAATAGAAATATATCATGTGTATGTTAAAATGTCCATTAATACAATGAAGATTTGAACATTCCTTTAAAGTACATGATCTGTGATCAAACTGGAGTCAATTTATTAATGTAAGCACCATCGCTGTAAGTCTAGGGGACCTAGTGCACAAAAGAATAGGTCATATGTCGGGGAGACTGATCGCCCAACAGAAATTTACCACTGGTGGTAAAATGTGGTACATGTAGTGTATGTGGCATCTGATCTTTCAATGAGCTGTCAACCAATACTTGCCAATTCTTCACATTTTGAGAGGAAAACTCACAATTTACCTCCAATTTATAACATTTGAAATCAGCAAGCAGTTTTGATTTTTTTTGCTGCCATTACATCAATTAATTCACTGTATGGCATTTTACATTATTATTTTGTCAGATTGTGATACTTGTTATAATTTGTAAGGAATTTCCAAGACTTTTCAGATTCTTAAGCAGTTTCTCTCTCATAAAAAATAAATGATAAATACTGTTCGGAATAATACTTTACCTAAAATATAATTTTATAATTTTTAGAGTTGTTATATAAGAATGAATAATTGAGCAAAGAGATAATCAACCAAATTTTAAACAACTGCATGTACAAATATAGGTATATATACAAATGTAGCATATGATGTAGAAGTCTTACATTTTGATTACGGTATCAGTGAGTGTAGTAATATATATATATGTAATGTACATTTCAACAATACCTGTTTATGGAGATCTTCAAATTCAGAGTATCGTTTTTCTACATTGGTCAATCGCCCGGAAGCACATACTTCAACATTAAAGACCTGATACAAAATAGAAAATGACAGTGCAGTAATCAAATTCAAGAAATTTCAACACATTTCTTTTATTTTTTATGGTAAAAATGCACTTATTCATTGCATTTGAATTTTATTACATTTGATATAGTTATAGGTACTCTAAATCGAGAGATCGTCAGAATACGTACATTATTTCAAATAAACTGTTATATCAAAATTAATTTGGATACCACATTCATGTCTGAAGTTACAGAGATCTGCACTAAGGATAATACCTTAGAGTATGTCAGGTTCTGTTGAACTTTATGTACTTTGATGGATGAAGTACAGATCTGTACATTTGTATACGTATCTGTTAATTAGGTTTCTATATATATCAATTTACTTTTATCTGCTCTTCAACCTTTTTAGTGGGGAGCAAGTCCATTTAAGGGAAATTACCTTAAAAATGGAACATGTTAATTAATATTATACATGTTATCAGTTAAAATAACTTTAATCCATTTTACAGTAGTGGTCACTGGTGATTGGGGCCCCTGTATATTTATACTTACTTATACAAATGTGTCTGAAATAGGTCTCTGATTACATCAGGGACATACACATCTGACGTTTAAAATATATCTTCAGTTTTCCATGGATTATTTCTTTAGTACATTTTAATTTAAATCATTAGTTTATTATATAACTTATACAGATAAATGCATTTCTATAAATACAAGTTGTATATGTGAAGGATGTTCATTCGAAGATCTATATATATAAAAATAGAAGTATATATGAACTATATGTCATAATTCTAAATTCTAATATGCTGAATAATATATAGTTTTGACAGGCCAATTAAATGTGCATGTGCGTATGACTCACATGATGATTGTCACAGTAGAAATTTTCTCCATAATACACTTTTCTTTGCCATTACTATCTATACTTATTAGTACCAATGTTGTTAACTGATATTTTAAATGGGGACGTTTAGAATTATATATATATATGTATATTATCTAATTAACATCTTTCTATCACATACACTGGGTACAGTACAGTAGGCTAGCAAGTGAAATTTGTGGGGGCGTGTCTTTGTTCTTGATAAATTATGCTAATTCAATTTTCGTATTCATTTCTTACTGTATATTAAAATAAAAACTGCATTTATGTAACATAAATAATTCTGATAATAACATTTGTTACAACGACAGAAACTCTTCATTGTTAATGAACGGATCTTCTAAAGAATCATTCAAAAAAATAAACTTACTGCAGTACCGTTGGTGCCCCCTAGCCTGTTCAATGCAATTCTGTTGCAATGAGAGAGAGGAGAGAAAAAAAGGTCTGAACGAGCAACCCAGTCAGTACTTACAGTATAAGAATCATTGTTGTCCCCGCCTTTCCTAAAGCTTGGAACGGTCACTCGAATCATGAATATTTTCTGACCAGAAGTACTTCTGACTTTGTTTTGTTTACAGCTGATCAACGAATGTCAAAGTCACGTACAAGCTTTATTAACCGTGGAACTGATTTAAGCTTCTGTACGACACTGCCGCACAAACCGGTTTATTAAGGATAATTAAGTGCTCATTGTTTTAAACCCGAACAAAAATAAAATACACGAAAAAAATATACGCCAACATCCGGGCCAGCAAGAGTGATTAATATAAATGAAATGTATTTTCTCAAACACTGACTGGTAATACTACTACTACTAAATAATACTAATACTAACTTTATTTAACGAGGGATACACATTTAGTACAAGAGTAATCTTCCATGCGGCCCTCAAACACATATAGTACATGAATGCATGAAGAGATTACATAAAACAATGATATGATATAACTACAAACCACAAAAACAATCAATTAATGAGATTACTGTAAACTGACTAGAATTACATGTGTTGTAATGTCTATGGTAACGCGTACGTATGTCCAACAATATCTTGCATACTAACAGCATATGTGGAACCTTACATTATAGGTTTTGACAGTGTCCTGTGGAATTTCAATACCAAACTTTTAATTATCATGAAATTGATAATGTTCATTTATCCATTTAAGTAAAGAGACAATAGGTGACTCTTGAGATTTTTTTTAAACGTGAAGACTGTTATATCATTCTTAATTTGGTTTGGAAGATTATTCCATGACACAACACGGGTGTAGTTGAAAGATTTTTTGAAGAATTCAGTGTTGTGTCTTGGTATAACTAGATTATTATGAGAAGTAGATCTTAATCCATAGTTATATGTATCATGGCATAGACTTAGGTTAGATTTAATGTAGTCTGGTGCTAAATCATTAAGTGCTTTGTATACTTATATACAAGTATGATATTTAACTCTGTAATCAAAAGGGAGCGTATCACATTCTTTAAAGAGTTCAATGCCTGGAGTTAAGATGGGCTTATTTAATACAATACGTATAGCCTTTTTCTGGATTTTAGTGATATACTTTCCTTGTTCAATTGTTAAACCACACAATAGCAGCATAGTCCAGTATGGCAATGAATATGCGTTATAGTAAACTTTTCTGGCTTCTTGATTCAAATATCCTGCCATTCTACGCAAAAGTGCAACAGAAGTTGCTAATTTGGAAGATACTTTTTCGCTTGGGTTACCCAACTTAGATTGTTATCAATATACATACCCAGAACCTTTTGACAAGAGGAAGACGCAATTTCGTCATTGTCTACTACCAAACGTAATGGATTTAGATTTGTAAGTTTATGTTTGCTGGCTATTACCATATTTGTGGTCTTATTTTTATTCAAGCTCATGTTATTATTCACACACCATCTCACTATATGATTTAGAATATCTTGGAGATTATCTGCAATAGTAGAGGAGTTATCTCCCTTCAAATGCACTGTACTATCATCCGCATACATGTCAATCAAACAATTTTGTACATATAATGGCATATCATTTATATATATAATGAATAGTAACGGCCCAAGTATTGAGCCTTGAGGAACACCTGACCTAATTATTTTGGGTGAAGATGAAATATTGTTTGATTTGACAGATTGCACTCTATTTTCTAAGTATGATGTTAGCCAGTTCACACTGGTGCTAGAGATATTTAGTATCTTAAGTTTATGTAGAAGAATGCCATGATCCACCAAGTCAAAGGCCTTTCTTAAATCAATAAACACTGTACCAATTACTTCATTATTATCAATACCCTCAATCCATTTATCAAATAGGTTAACTAGGGCAGTCTGACATGAGTGTTTTGCTCGAAAGCCTGATTGCGAGCTATGCAAAAGGTCATACTTCAATACATATTTATATAAGTGATTTGAAGTATGTCTCTCAAATATTTTGGATATAGTAGGTAGAATAGATATTGGTCTGTAATTATCTAAAATATCCTTATCTCCGCCCTTGTGTAGTGGCGTCACTCTTGCTATTTTTAGAGCGATTGGAAAGATGGACGTTGATATACTCAAATTAATTATATAAGTTAAATATGGAGATATAATATGGTTGCAAATTTTAAGTATTTTTGGACCAATTCCATCATTTCCAGTCGATTTAGTGTCGTCAAGTTTATTTATGTACGTTTCGACATCCTTTAAATGTATGTAAGGAATGATGAATGGGGTTTGTTTAGAAATTATACGTGAAACATGTTGTTCCATCACAAAATGATCATTANCATAGACTTAGGTTAGATTTAATGTAGCCTGGTGCTAAATCATTAAGTGCTTTGTATACTAATATACAAGTATGATATTTAACTCTGTAATTAAAAGGGAGAGTATCACATTCTTTAAAGAGTTCAATGTTTGGAGTTAAGATGGGCTTATTTAATACAATACGTATAGCCTTTTTCTGGATTTTAGTGATATAATTTCCTTGTTCAATTGTTAAACCATTTCCCCACACAATAGCAGCATAGTCCAGTATTGGCAATATATAGGCGTTATAGTAAACTTTTTGGGCTTCTTGATTCAAATAGCCTGCCATTCTACGCAAAAGTGCAACAGAAGTTGCTAATTTGGAAGATACTTTCTTCACTTGGGTTACCCAACTTAGAATGTTATCAATATACATACCCAGAACCTTTTGACAGGAGGAAGACGCAATTTCGTCATTGTCTACTACCAAACGTAATGGATTTAGATTTGCAAGTTTATGTCTGCTGGCTATTACCATACTTGTGGTCTTATTTTTATTCAATTTCATGTTATTATTCACACACCATCTCACTATATGATTTAGATTATCTTGGAGATTATCTGCAATAGCAGAGGAGTTGTCTCCCTTCAAATGCATTGTACTATCATCCGCATACATGTCAATCAAACAATTTTGTACATATAATGGCATATCATTTATATATATAATGAATAGTAACGGCCCAAGTATTGAGCCTTGAGGAACACCTGACCTAATTACTTTAGGTGAAGATGAAATATTGTTTGATTTGACAGATTGCACTCTATTTTCTAAGTATGATGTTAGCCAGTTCACACTGGTGCTAGAGATATTTAGTATCTTAAGTTTATGTAGAAGAATGCCATGATCCACCAAGTCAAAGGCCTTTCTTAAATCAATAAACACTGTACCAATTACTTCATTATTATCAATACCCTCAATCCATTTATCAAATAGGTTAACTAGGGCAGTCTGACATGAGTGTTTTGCTCGAAAGCCTGATTGCGAGCTATGCAAAAGGTCATACTTCAATACATATTTATATAAGTGATTTGAAGTATGTCTCTCAAATATTTTGGATATAGTAGGTAGAATAGATATTGGTCTGTAATTATCTAAAATATCCTTATCTCCGCCCTTGTGTAGTGGCGTCACTCTTGCTATTTTTAGAGCGATTGGAAAGATGGACGTTGATATACTCAAATTAATTATATAAGTTAAATATGGAGATATAATATGGTTGCAAATTTTAAGTATTTTTGGACCAATTCCATCATTTCCAGTCGATTTAGTGTCGTCAAGTTTATTTATGTACGTTTCGACATCCTTTAAATGTATGTAAGGAATGATGAATGGGGTTTGTTTAGAAATTATACGTGAAACATGTTGTTCCATCACAAAATGATCATTATAATCCAGTGGTTTTTTATCGACCATATTGGAGACATAAACAAAATGCATATTTATTCTGTCTATGATTTCTTGTTTATCAGTAATGGTCATGTCATTATTTATTTTAAGATGATTAGGAATAGTACTTCGAGATTCACTGGATGAAATGCATTTTACGTGTTTCCAAAGTAAGGCACTAGGTTTGTGATCAGTAACAACATTATTTAACATACCTTTCTTTGAATTTAGTATTAGCAAATTAGTTTTGTTTCTCCATAACCTATAGTTATCCCAATCCTTTGCCGAATGAAATTTATCTCGTAGGCGCATTGCATTGGCTATGTCCTCGTTAAACCATTCCGGCTGTTTGTTTCGTTTGACCCTTTTAGTTTTCATCATGGCATGTTTATCTAGGATTTTCAATATTATGTTATATAGGAGTGATAGTGCTTCATTTGGGTCAGTCTCTTGGGCTACCTCATCTATATTGGATTCATTGAGATCCTGTAGAAAATCTTCATTTACAAACTTTTTGAAACATCTGTACTTTATCGTAGTGTGTTTAAATTTGCTTTCCATATAACGCAAGTTATGTTGTACGGTAACACATACAGGATAATGATCACTTAAAGCTATACATGGTACATATACATCAGAAATAATATCATCATTACTAGTATAAACATGATCAATGATGGTTGAAGAGGAATTAGCTACTCTGGTGGGCTGCTTTATCAGCTGGGTAAGATTGTGAGTGGTGACAAAATCATCCCACTTTGTGTTTATATTATATTAATTTTTATTTTAAATTCTGAAACAGTTAATGATGCGTTTTACCATGGAATTAGATCTAAGTCCGTGGTTTTACCAACTATATGATGTACTCACTACAACTATCAAGACATGTGTCCTCATGATAACATTAAGAAAACGATGTTTTCCAACATGGTATGACAATGACCTTATAGCAATGGTTAAAGAGAAAGAACGTGCGTACATGTACAAAGTCTATGTCAAGACCGGTAAACGACGTGATTCTCCTGAGTATGCTATTTTTTCTTCTCTGCGGCAGGAGTTAAAATCACTCCAAACACCTAAATACGATGACTATATCACAATCCCAAACGTTTTTGGGGAATTGTGAAAGGAAAGCGGAAGGAGGGGACTGTCCCGGACTCTGTCTCAGACTGTTCATCATCGTCTTCCAACAATGTTGAATCTGCAGATATTTTTAACGCTTTCTTTAAAAATGTGTTCTGTATGGACGACGATTGTGATCTTTCTCAAATATATGTAAAAAAAAAATGGATTTGACTTCCCGCTAAGCACACTTATTTTGAATTGTACTGATGTCCAGAAGGCACTTACACAAATAGACGTAATACAAGCTTGTGGCTACGACACGACAACATATCTGGCGTAGTTGGTTTAA